CCTACCCACCTACCCACCTACCCACTCCACCTACCCCTCTACCCCTCTACCCCTCTACCCACCTACCCACTTACCCACCTACCCATAACCACCTACCGACCTAATAGTTTGGTCGAGAAGAATGCTCCTTAATAGCATGCCAAGTAGCCAACATTGCCTCCTTATCGTTGTCAGGTCAGTGTCCATTAAAAACTTCGCCATCTCAGCGTTTGGCAAGCAGTGACAGTCTGTAGACCCTTTCCAGTCAACCTCTTGCCCATTTCTCGTCAGCGAAGTACTTGATCCTAGGAACTTTTCCATTCTGGGCCAGTTCCAGAGGTTTGGCTATCCGTCCGGAATTAGGATTCACCTGTAGGTGTTGCGATCGTCTGAGAACAGAGAACATGCATTCATCATTAGGTTTCTGGAAGAGGGAATTGAGCTTGTGATTGAAGTTTCGAATAATTCAGAAGCAGTCGAGAAACTAGTTTACCACGCCCTGTTTTTCCCAAAAATAAAAATAAAAATAAAAATAAAAAAAATCTAGCTGCATACCTCTGTACATCTCGGGTTTATCAATTCATTTCTGAAGAGCCAAATTTTGGATCAGTCTTCCTTGGGACACTGAGCAACAGTCAAATATAGTCGATATTGCAAGAGTTGCAGGTAGGTTGGTTGAACTCACTAGCAACAATTCAAGAACATGGGACTTTCAGGAATCTGTACAAACCCACAAGTAGCAAAGCACATCGTATCTTTGCTCCCACTGTGTCCGTTCGGGCTCGCCATTCTCAGGATGCCATGGGACTTTCAGGAATCTGTACAAACCCACAAGTAGCAAAGCAAATCGTATCTTTGCTCCCACTGTGTCCGTTCGGGCTCGCCATTCTCAGGATACCTGCCGCCAGCCGAAATGTCGAGACACAAGTGACAGAGTGGATTGTATGTACTTTCTTGCAGAGCCATGCTCGTGGTGCTTGGCAGACTTTCCATTGATTGCTGTCGGTTCGTTTTGATGCGCAATTTATGTTTTGGACTATGTCCTGGGCTGGCAATGTACACCTCTGACAAGCGAGGGGCAATGCTTTGGCTTGAGCAGGTTCGTCCATCTGTGGAGCAGCTGGAGGAGTCTGCCCGGTCTGCAAACAACTAAGCTGGAGCGCGTTACGTAAGGCTGCGAAGTTCGGGTGAAGAATCACCAATCTGTAATTCTTAGCCTCGGAGCAGAGAGGAGAGTCACTGCATTATGGGCGATGCGGGTCAAATGGAATTTGCTATAGGGGACGATGTGGATGAGAGTAGGTTAGACAGACAAGAGCTCTTGGCTCTGGAAGAAACTGCGAGGAAGAAGTTCCAGGAGTTGTTGAACAAGCAAGAAGCAGAAGGGAAGATATCGGGAGATGGACTGAAGGTGCAGAAGCAGCACAAGTGTGAGGCATGCCCAGCAAAGTCACAGAGCATTTTTCTGAGTTTTCAGGCTCTGATCAATCATGCACAGTCGTTCAAGAAGAAGAACTGGCACATTCACAGAGGGTACGCAAAGGCGCTAGAGGCGTTCCGAAAGGGGCACATGGAAGCACCAGAAAATGCAGTAAAAGTGGAGCAAGGGCAGGAGGGAGAGGTGGTATGGCCTCCGACAGTCATCTTGTGTAACACATTCAGGAGCCAAGACGCGCAAGGAAAATGGGCTAGCTTAGGAAAACAGCAGCTGCCGCCAGTGCTCTTGATGCTAATGGAAGGTAAAGGCAGGTTCCGCCCTATCTACACGAAAACAGGCCACAGGGGTATGAGCTTTGTTGTATTTGGGAGCGAGGAGGATGGAGAAGGGTATAGGCATGCCCAAGAGATGGCAGAATTCTTTTTCCTGCAAGGGAAGGGCTTGTCGGATTGGGAGAAGCTGGTTGGAGGAAGAATGGACGACGCTGCTTGGGCTGAACCTATCAAGCACGGCGTCGAGCACTTGTATGGGTACTTGGCCAGAAGGGTGGACATGGAAATACTCGATCCAAGGAAACAATTCTGTAAAGACTGGAGTATCAGGCCGTTAGAAGAAGTGAAAAAGGGCATGAAGAAGCGACATAGAGAGGTAAGAGATGGAAATCAACTGCTACTGCTGGTCCTGGGCCAAACCTTGGTCATTCACTGCATGGTCTCTGCTCCTTATGGCTATGTCGGACATTGGCAGTATTCTCGTCTTTGGTCCAATCTCAATACCTTCCAGGCTGCCTGCCTCCATCCCTGATCACTTCTTCCCACTGCTTACTGCGGCTTGCCCATGCACAACCGATTTTGTGGAAATATGAAGCACCCAGTTTTCAACGCGAAGGGCGTATGGGCTAGATGAACCCTTCCCAAGGTTCTGAATCATGGGCTAGATGAACCCTTCCCAAGGTTCTGAATCACTTGTGCACACCCACAACATTCATCTGGTGAACACTCTAATGGTGGCCAATCCTGTCAAAACACCCAACCAACTTGCCCGGTTATTTATAAGGCATCTGAGTTGCACCAGTCAGCTCCCTCCATCCTCCATCCTCCACCCTCCACCCTCCACCCTCCACCCTCCACCACCGCTCCATGCCTCCCGCTCTCCCCTCTGCCTCCGTGTGGGCTAGGGTCCAGACAGGTGATCGTTTCACGAGCAATCTGATTTTCAGCCAGTATATCCACTGGCACCCCTCATTCTCTGAAACCCCAAATCCTGGCACCATTGTGCAGATTTGTCCCAGTTTCCTGCTCTGATCTCCTTATTCTGAGAGCACTGAACCCCTGCATTCACTTCAATCCATGTGGGAAAATTTGAGTTACTATGGGACTCTTATGTTCGTACATGAGATCCTTGTAGAGGATAGAGTACTACTTAATTTCAGAATCACTGGAAGGAGCAGCACATGATGACTCCTTGCTACTGGTTTTGATCATAACCAACCATGACTCACCTCACATTCACCCTAGACAATATATGCATTTAGAGCGTTTTCAAGGTCAACAAGTCACTTCTAGTATTAGAGACTTTCAGAAGGGGGGTCAAGCAAATAAGCATGGGAAGAAAATAAGGAAGAGTTCTAAGCAAATGGGTTGATGGAAGAACTTTCCCCATGCAAACTTGCGGAGTCAGTGACTGGTTAAGTAAAGCCTCGAGGATCGGAGCACGTAGGAGGGAGGTGGAGACTATTGGAATCACTGCATTAAAACAATCGCTAATTCATGGCCCGTTGCCAACTCTCTATCAGGGCCCTTCTTTTCATTGTTGCTTGCCATTCGGGATGTCCCCCTTATTGTTTTGCAGGTGATCGGCATGCAATCTGGACCGTTGTCGTAGGGGCACTAGACAGTCCAGATTAGGTGTTGATCGTTTACAAAACCATCGTGCAACACTGGGCTGGGCGGTATCGTGAATACAGGAATAGGAAGGTACCACGGGCGCCACTGGGCATGTGTTGCGTGGAACTGGCCATAAGTGTTGTGCGTGTTTGTTTGTGGGCCAGTACTGCGCAGTGTGTGACACTGGGCTGGGCGGTAGCGTGAATACAGGAATGGGAAGGTACCACGCGTGCCACTGGGCATGTGCTGCGTGGCACTGGCCATAAGTGTCGTGCGCGTTTGTTTGTGGGCCAGTACTGCGCAGTTTGCTGGCCATAAACAAACGTACGCGCCCAAATTTTTATGGGGTGCCTGTAGCACAGGCCGGTTCCCTGGCGAACATTTTGAGTGGCACTAAACAGATATTTTCGGGAGAGCTGAGGGGGGTGCAGTAAAAAAAAACGGATGCACACGATGCTCCACTTTGCTCGACTTTGTTTCACTTGGAGTCGGGCTGTGCTACACTCAAGTTTGCTACTCTATTGTACATTATAGGTGACTCTAACCTTTTAGCTTTGCTCGACTGCGTTTCTTGGCTCTACTGCCAACTCTGCTCTTGAGTTTGTTACACTTGGAGTCGAGTTGTGTTACTCTCGACAGAGCTACTCTTCTCTATGCTATGGTCGACTATGCAGTTAGCGTCGGCCAGTCTCTAATAGCTGCAATCTTGCTATCATCGGCCTGTACTCCATCTCCATCTATGACATTGCCTAGATATAGCAGACACTGGTTTGGCCATTCAGACTTCTTGGGATTTACTTTAAATTTTTTCTAAGCTTCGTTAGGACTTTGCAGAGACGCTCCTCATGTTTTTCTATAGTTTTTATTACTAAAAACTAGGATGTCAAGCCAGTCTCTGAACAGGTCATTCATGATACACTGGAAAGTAGCAGGGGCGAGTCAGACCGAAAGACATCGCATTGAACTCAGAGTGGCCAAACCTAGTTAGAAAAAATGTGTTGGGCGTCTCTTCAGGTGTAACCTTTGCAGCAGTTCGTCTATAACTGGAAGTGGTTCTGCATTCTTCGCTGTTACGGCATTCAGACCCCTATAGCCTATACACAGTCTCAGCTCTCCTTCCTTTCTAGGGACAAACAAAATGGGCGCGCTGTAGGGAGATGATCCGGGTTTAATCCACCCTTTGTCTACCAGCTCCTGGATGTGTTTCCTTAGTTCTTCTAACTCACGTGGTGCCATCTTGTAAATAGCGCCCTTGGGAAGCTTACTAGCTGGTGCTTGATTGGTCTCTGTACTATGTCCTTGGGCTCTGCCTGCACGTCAGCAAATTCTTCTTGCAACTTTGGAACTCGGGTCGTAATCGACTCTTCTGTAGGCACCCTTCCTTTGCCTTAACCCTCTTCAGGGGTCACATAGGCCACGTATACCTGGTCTGTCAGCTTGTCCTTCGCTGTGCATCTACAGAATGCAGGGGTATTTATACAGCACATGGACAGGGAGGATTTCAAGCTGGACTGATGATACTGGCAAAATTTCTTCTTCTCCTTTTTCTTTTCCTTGGTTGGGCAACCAACACTTAACTTTGCCCATCTTCATGCCTGCTTTCGCCGCCATTCCCCAGGCCATGCCTAAGACCATATCAAAATGCAGGTTTTCTTCCACCAGAAGGGTCAAAAAATGTAATAGCTTCTTGACTTTCTCTTCACCATCCAGCGGGAAGTATGCCTTAACCCCCTCGAGGTAATGCTCCACGTTCATCAGACTATGTTAGCCATTTTTAGGAACTACTGGGTTCTCCAAATTTTGAACATTCATCCCTAAATGCATGTTTTTAACTGCTCTACGGGAGAGAGAACTCCTGGTGGATCCACAATCTCTCATTGCACGTATTCTCACCTTGCTAACTTCTACACTGTATCACGAGCAATGACAAGCACGTAAGTTCTCCTCTTTCTCTCTTTCTGTCTCTGCTACTACTACTGTACGCAGGTCCTGTGATCTCTCTCTAAATGTCCTCACTGCTCTCCCTCTCTCCCGCTGCTCTCTACCATAGCTATGGCACCCAATGCCGTTGACTACTCTCCAAGCTCTTGGAGCTCAGTAACGCAGCAGCATTTCCTCTGAAGCCAGAATTGAAGAAAAGGAGGTTCCTGGCGCTGCCCTGTTCTCTGTGCATCTGCCTGCACCTCCCGCATGACTCCTGGCCCTCTCTTGCCAGGCCCTGCTGCGGCCGACAGAGATTCAGCCTGTGTGGGGCCCTTCCTGAGACCGAGCTGCAACTTGACTGTGGCTGGACACGTGCGACTCCCTACCTACTGACTACTAGGGACTTCTACTGGTCCTACTGGTCTTATTCTATCGGATCTCTATTTTGGCCTGTACTGCATCTACCGGAAAGTTCTACTGCAGCCCTATGGTAAAAAGACCGGGGGCCGTACTGCGGAGGCGTGGGAATCATTTCAGGATCCCATCGGCTAAGAAAAGATGAGGGACAGGAAGCAAAGAAGAGGGGAAGATAAAGGGGCAAGCGCCAACACGGAGAAGAGACGGAAAAGAAGTCAAGGGTCACAAGGTGAGGACAGCCGGATGGATCTAACAAAAAGACAACAACAGAGGAGTCGTCAGATTAAGCGATCGTATAGACATCCCTCATCCCAAGTACAATACGGGACAGGCAAGGAGGAAAACGGTCCGAGTATCCTTAAACCAGATTGGTCTTTTGGCAGTCCACAGCAGGGAACTGAAAGGGGAACTCTGATTTCGAGAATGTTTCTCGAGGGGAAATAGAGTTTTTAAGGGGAGGATTACTGCTCCAAAGGAATGGGCTTGTCTGACAGTCAGTCCTTCCAAGGGAAGCAATCAATGCGGTCAGGGGTCCCAGGGCCGTAATCTGGGGAAGCGTTGAGAGTGTGTATGATATATATATTTTCACCACATGCTTTATATGGCGTAGGACTTTTTTCGAATTGCCCTTGCTGCTGATCTTCCCTGTCTGCAGTCGGGTTATAATTATGCCAGTGAAGGAGGCTTTAGAATTGTGGTCCAACAATGAGCAATGAGGGACTTTAACTTGGACTATGCAATGCTCAGGCAGGTGATTGTTCTCGTCCTCCATCCCACATCTGTGCCTGCATTGTACACGGACCTGGCCATTACATGGCCATTGTACATGCCTCTGACCACTGGGAGCTGTGGGACAACAACACCATGGTTCATGCCATGACTGATGCTATTGCTTTCTGACATAACGAAGCTGTTTTCTTGCCACGCCAAACCTTTGGCACACTCCGTTGTGTTCAATTTCATTTCTCTGCCCTGTGCCTCAGCAGGACAATGTGACAGCATTCTGCTACCTTCTCCTTTGCCTGGCTACAAACAGTGTTGCACTCCTCTGTAGCTGTCATCGTCTCTGGCACAATCACTACAAGGACATGGTTTCTGCACCCATGTGTGCACAGGGCTGTCCCTCCTTTCCTGACTGCAGGCATCCTCTGCATCTGGACACTATATGTCCATTTTGTGGCCATGGTCATTATACTGAATGCATGGTCTTTTGTGGTGCCTGTTCTTCCTTCGTGTTGGCCTGCAATTGACATGCCGTTTGTTGGGAGTGTTTGGTGTACATGCTCAATGCCAGCCGGCATGGCAGTCATGCAATTGACATGCCGTTTGTTGTGCTGAGAATGCTCAGCCAGGTCTTCCATGTCCTCATCCATCTCACCCTTACAATGTATGTCCTCTCTGTTGTCAAGGACAGACTGATTCGTGAACTTTCTCTCTTATGCTTTCCTATGCTTTCATCTTCATTCAACAGTCAGTTTCCCTTAATGTCCTTTGTGTCTTCCTTTGCTTTCTCTTCTTTCCATCTTTTCTCTCTGCTTATCCCCTCTCCCTTTGCCGTGCCTCTTTTTCACAGTGGACCGTTATGGCACACAGAAATGTGGGTAGCTTGCGCTCAACTTCAGCAACATGGCGAGCCTTGCACGCGAGAAGCACAGTAAAGGGGGAGCTAAAAGAAGAAATAATCAAACAGTCAACAGCAAGAAAAAAAAAGGAAGAACTGTATACAAAGAGGCAAAAGAAAGGTTTCAGTGTGCTTGCCATGTTTGTTGTGTATTTTTATCGTTGGTAGGTTTCAGTGTGCTCGCCATGTTTGTTGTGTATTCTTATCGTTTGTTTTTGCAAAATGCGTTGTTTTAGGTGATAGATATGTGACAGTATATATTTTCTGACTTGCCCTACAAGGAGGAAAAAGAAGGGTTTCAGTGTGCTCGCCATGTTTGACGTGTATTTTTATCGTGTTTTTTTTTCAAAGTGCGCTGTTTTAGGTGGCAGATATGTGACAATATATAGTTTCTGACTTGCCAGTGGAATAGGAACCGGACTGATGCTCCCCAGAATGTGTATGTAGCTGGTCCCATAAGGACCTGTTTTTCTTTCTCTTAATTGGAAAAGAAAAAGGGAGTTCGCACGCAAAGCATTCACTTTCTCTTAATTGGAAAAGAAAAAGGGAGTTCGCACGCAAAGCATTCAACTCTCCAGCCCAGACTGTGCTATACAGTTGGGAGAAATACCAAAGAAGGAAGATGACCACGCGAACAGCAAGAATTGCACCATCAGTGAAGTCCCATTCTATGCACATTGCCTATCTTGTTCAAGTTCCATGCCGCAAATTGTTAGTGTGTAATCATTATTGCAGACTGGATTCTGCTGGTTCATCTGGAGTACCACAGCTGATTGTCCCTCTGTGTCATGTTTGAATGAATGGAATGTTAGTCCTTTTGTTGGCCTGACATTTTAATTGATTATTTGATTCAAGCAAAATTGATTCAATGAATGGAATGCTAGTCCTTTTGTTGACCTGACAGCTTTGTTCTGTTTGTTAGACTGACTTCCATGGCTTCGGGAGAGACGAGGAAAAGGAAGCCAAATTGAATGAATGGAGTCTGTCCTTTTCTTGGCCTGACATCTTTTTTCTGTTTGTTAAGCCGAATTGAATGAACGGAGTCTTAGTCCTTTTCTTGACCTGACATCTTTTTTCTGTTTGTTAAACTGACTTCAGGAAGAGGACGAAAAAGAAACAAAACTGCGGAAGCTTCAGAGTGAAAAGGATGAGGCAATCCAACTCCTTGAGATCAAGGAGAAAGAAAGAAGGCAGGTTGAAGAGGAGAAGGCAAAGGCTCTAAAGGAACTTGAAAAACAGCAGGAGAAGTACAATAAGGAGGCAGCAATGCTACAGGAGAAGCTAATGGCAGCAGAAAGAGAGTATAAAGTGAAGGTAAGCTTCTGTGTGGGGATTTCCTTGGTAGAATTTGAGATCTCACATCATTCCAGCCTTAGCCAACCCCTAAAGGAAGCCAACTGTATGGTGGAACCCTCGTAAGCAACTCGGTGGAGGAATCCATCATGGCTGTTTGTCTCAGTTGAAATCTGAATCCTTCCACGGTCGGGTCGCAAAACCCTGAAAGGCAACTGGATGGACAGACACTGGCTTCTTTATGGGTGTTTTTCTCAGTTGTTACGATCCTGGCCAATTTCGAAGTATACAAACATCAGAAAGTACAATGCCGTCCAATTGCAAAAAGAAATGAATGAACTTGAGAGGAGAGAGAGGGAAAGAAGAAGAAGAAGAAGTAAGAAAGAAGGAGAAGATGATGTACTCCAGCATAGACCAATGACAAGGCTCTTCTTCCTCGCCAACCAATCTCCTCCTCTTCATCTCCTCCCCTCTTATTCAAACAAGAAATAACAATAATAATGTTGAATTGCTGAACCAGAATCAATGTCCGAATCCCACTTCTACTGCAGGCACAACATGAGGTCCACCATAGCCATGGCCACCCTTCTTCTTCCTCTACATACAGGCCGAGGCTATGGCGGAGTACTGAGGTCTCTCCATCCTGTCCAAAGGACAACCCAAAGCAGCTATGTCGCTGCCCTTCTGTCCCCAGGTCAACTTCCTGCAGCTATGCCGCTGTCTACTCAACCGCCATGCCTGACTCTGTCCCGAGCTTCATTGATGCTGCACTACCCCCACTGGGGCCTTCCAGATGCAGCGCCTAACAAGGTGATGAAGATGGTGTCTACCATAGCCAGGTAAGTACCCCACCACTACCTCCTTGGTCCCCTTCTCCCTCCTCCTCCTACCGGTAGAGCTCCACCATAGCCAGGGCGGAAGCTCCCGGCTTCTTCCTCCCAGCAGCGCTGTAGTACCCAGCGCCACTCCAGCCAGCGCTCCAGCAGCGTGTCGCCAAACTTGCACACTGAAGAATGAGGCTGAGCTCTTGCCTCGGCCTCTTGATATAGCGGCCTGCTTGCCTCCTGGGCGGGGACTTCCAGGCCGCTCGGCCTCCCAAGCAACCGGTACCTCCTCCCTTTCGGAGGGAAACATCATTACAGACTCTGATATTGCCCGTACAGACTCTAGACTCAGACTGGATGGACTGGTACCGGCCTGGACCTAGCCTACCGCTACTGGGCCTCTAAAAATGCCAACTTTGTCTTCTTCTGCTCAGCCTCGAGTACCCGCACATCTACTGCTACTGGGTGCGGTACCGGCCTACCTGCTACTTGAGTGTTTTTCCGCAGCTCTAAGCACCGTGGGCCCCTGGCTCCGCCACTTGAGTGTTTCCCTGCTGCAACCCTCAATGCCACGGCCACAGGTAAGTACGGGCCCTACGGGCGTGCCAAACAAGCAAGTACCCTTGCGGGTCACACACACACTCATGCCGACAAGCACTCAGACAGGCACGCAAGTCCACAGGCACACACACATACAGACTTGGAAAACACAGCAGAATGCGGGAATCTTGGCAAGGCATCCTTTCCATCGGCAGAACTTCAGAAATCAGCAGTGTTCTCAGTCTGTGTTATGGCGGGTCATTACACAGTGGGTTACTGGGGTTTGTATCTTTCCTGGTGTTCCCTTTGCTGCAGCGTATTGATTCTGTTGCAGTTCATATGACATGACATGAAGGCTGTACCATCTGCCTACTTATGTCAGAGTCTGTCAGAATAGGGTGCAGGACCCTCCGTGGCAGGTAGTATCAGAGATATTAGTACCCCAAAATTGTTTTTGAAGCGGGTAGCCCCTATCCTTTTTGTATCTATTTGATTCCAGGAGGATTCAAACTAAATAAGTTGTTTTTATCAATAGAAGCACCCAAAGGACATGTGTGTGCCCTTCAGGCACATGGCCTTGATGTGAGTTCCCAACTTGTCCTTTTTTACCTCAGTTTTCCATTTGCAGACTCCATTTTGCAGTTTGTGCAGGTCCAACATTCTTCACAGCACTGCTGGGAGCACTTTTTCTATTGTGTGTCTGTCAGGTCTGGGGTGGCGAGGACGTGTGTGCATCTAGGATGTGCATATGTCACATGTTTGCCTGCTGAATGTGTCAGGGAGGTCTGTGTGTGCTTGCCTGAATATCTTGTAGGTGTCATTGACTGCCTGTTTTGAACTGAAAAGGGCCTGTTTGTTTCTCAGGACACAGAATTCTGTCGTGTATTAGGGTATATGCTTGTGAGGTGGCTATTTGCTTGCCTTACTGGTGTGATCACAACTTTTTGGAGCTTTGTTTTTGGTATCAAAATAGTCTTAACGCCACTGCTCTTGACATTCTACGAAGCAGCAATCCTTTTTCTCTGCATTGACAAGTGTAGGATAGCAGGGTTGAATCTTACTAGGAACGAAGCTTTGATTAGATCTTGACTGAGTAACATGTTCAACGCGGGCCGAGGAATTAAACGGCCGTTGAAAGCCGTTAAATTCCCCCACACCCCTGTTGAATAAAAAACGGGGGCCCTCCTGCCGTTTTTTTTCTTTTTCAACGGACCAGATCCACGGGGGCTCGGGTGGGTGGCCCAGCACCCCCATGCAATTAAAC